CCCCCCCGCCCCCCGTGCCTGAGCAAGGCCAGGGCCTCAGGCCAGCCTTCCTCCAGCAGGCCCCCCTGCCCTGCCCGCCTCCTCACCGATGAACTCGATGGACTTGTCCAGCCAGGGCAGCAGCTTTTCACAGTAGTTGTCGTTGATGGGAATGCGCATGAAGCGGCTCTCGCAGATGAAGTCCGGCTTGGGGCAGGAGTTGCTGGCATTGAGAACATAGCTGATTCCGTTCTGGGTCATCAGATCCTGGAGGCACGGCGGGGGGGGGGGGAGGGCGGGGTTTCGACCGCCAGCCGACGTGTTGCGGAGGGGGGGGGGGGACAGGTTGGAGGTGGGAGGCAGAGAAGGCAGGGGGAATGAGCGCTTCTGTTCTGCAGCCTGGAGACTCGGGATCTTGGGATGTGCTGGAGTCTGTGAGGAGGGGACTGAGACCAGCAGCCCCCCTCCACTCTGGCTGGGGAGCCAGGACTGTGCTATGGGCTGCCTCCTCTCCAAGCTCCACCCACAGCCTGGGGTCGCCTCCCTGGGCGGCGGCTTCACCCTGGTCCCTCGTCACCATTTTTAAAACCCAGGATTCTTTCTGAGCTGGCCAGGGGCCCAGTGACAGCAGCAGTTTGGCATGCAGGCCCCACCTACTGCGGAAGGCACTGGAAGCCTGCTTCTCTACCCACCCTCCTGGCCCCTCCCCCAAGCCCAGCATGCAGGCTGGGCCCCTGTGGAAGGCCCTAGAAGCCTGCTTCTCTACCAGCCCACCTGGGCCCTTCCCCCAAGTCTGGCTGAGGTCCTACTGGGGAGGGGTCCTGGGTCTCCCAGTGCCCCCACCCAATGATCCCCCCCCCGTCCACTGCCCTCCCTACCACCCCCTCAGGAGCCCGCTTCCGAGCCGAGCAGCCTTGTCTTCTCCTGGGACCCACTGGCACCCCGCACCACAGCCCCTCACGCACACACCTTGTTCAGCACATCTTTCTGAGAGCCCAGGTAGAGGTGAGGCAGGATTCGGGTCAAGCCCACACTGGGAACAGGCAGGCAGGGCTGGGAGAGGCTCATGGATGGCAGAGCAGCAGGCTTGCCCTCACAGAGGCCGGGGAAGCAGGAGGAGAAGGTGGCAAAGCCCCCTGTAGGAGACGCAGAGGAGACCCAGAGGCAGGTCAGACAGCTGGCCGGCTGAGGTGGGAGCGAGGCCGAGGCCAGGACACTAGCTACCACTGTGGCTGCGCCCTGCTGAGCCTCTGGCCTGAGCACCTGGACTACTCCTGGCAGGCCATGGGGCCACACCAGGGGCACGTGCTGTGGCCCATTTATAGCCTGAACCCATGCCCACACTCTTCCCCATGCAAGTTAGGGGCGGGCCCGGGGGACGCTGCTGTGATGCCCATAAAGCGGGGTCCAGGTGGCCAGTGGACACAGCACATGAGGCTCAAGTGGAGGCTGACTCAGACCTCAGCCAGGGTCTCCTGCTGGGGCACGGGTCCTGCAACACAGACAGGAAGCCCCCGCTCAACTCTGGCCTCCTCTGTGCTGATGCAATTGCTCCCTGCCTCCTGTTGGCTGGAAATCCCAGGCACGGTCTCCAGTGCCAGGCCTGGGAGGGAAGGCCTCCTCGGGGACCCTCCCCCCTCCGCCCTGGGCATGACATCACCCCTGGGATTGGTGTGGCCTGTAGGGGTATTTGTGGTTCAGTCATGGCTCCACTCCATCCAGATGACAGAACAGCAGGGAAACCTGGCGCGAAGCACACACGCCTGCTCCACGCAGGTGCCCTGTCACCTGCCACGCACACCCAAGTCCTGTGCCCCAGGCTGGTGAAGGAGCCCCTCCCCCCAAGAGCCGGGAGACCAGTTCCAGTCCCTAGTATGTCTAACTTGTGTCCACAGGCACGGCGTACTTATGTCTTCAGCCTCCAGCACTGCTGGGAGGCAGAGGGAAGCCGAGGGACATGGAGACAGAAGAGGGATCCAGGCCATACCTGGCCCGGCTGGCGTGCTGCCGTGTCTGACCTGACACTGGGCCGCACCCGCCTTGTGGTCACTACTCCTGGAGGTGTGGTGAACTGCTCAGCTGCACAAGGGCTGCCCACATACTTCTGGGTGACAAGCTCCCCTGACAAAGAGGCTCCAGGTTCTAGACTCAGCCAAAGCATCCAGCACGAGAGACAACTCCAAGCCAAGGCCCACCCTGTCTCCTAGGAATGGGGTTGAAGGCAGGGGCCTCGGCCCCCAGCCATTCCCATGTTCTTTCCTGTCCTGGTCTACAGAAGAGGTGGCAGGGACCTGGATAACTGATGCCCCGCCCAGACCATGGACAGTTGGTGCCTGGTGTGAGGGCTCCTCTGGCCTCAAAGACAGCTTGGCTTGGGGACTATGGGCATGGGAGAAAATGCCAGGTTGGGGGAGTTTAGGCCCAGCCTTGGAAGAAAAGGGGTCCTGTCCTTGGGAACCTACCAGCCAGGTGGGAGAAGCAGGTAATCTTGGCACCAGTGACAGCAAAGCTCACTGGCTCCTGGAGAGGAGTCTGAGCTGAGCTGCAGCGGCTCCTAGGTGAGGGTCTGCTTCCTTTTGGAGGGCCGGACCCCTCTGCAACCTGCCCTGAGGGGGTGGGGCTGGGACAGGGGCCTAGCAGCAGGACCCCAGCACCCTCTCCCACAGCCTCCCATCCTGGGAGGACCCACCCCTGGCATTCTCCTAAGCAAAGGTCACCCATGGCCTGGCTACGAGATCCTGGAAAACCGCTCCTCCACACATGGGCTTCCTTCTCCCCTACTCAAAGTCTTCCTTTTATCTCACAGGTCAAGGCAGGGCCAGCTTAGAGCAGAAGCTGTGCCCCCCTCCCAAGCAGGACCAGGAGTCTGTGCTGGGCAATCTGTTGGGCGGAGGGGGGACCCTGCCTTCAGTGTTCCATGCTGTCTGCCTGCTGTGGCCTGTGTTTTCCAGAGGCTGGGTGGCAGTGTCCGTGGAAATCCCTCCCGGGGCCAGGGATGGTGGACATCCCTGGGACAGGCAGCTCTATCGGGTGTCCTACCGCTGGGCCACCTTCCCAGGAGGTGGATCTCCAGTAGGCCTCGCAGCCACTGCGTGTGGGTGGGTGTGCATGAGTGGTGTGTGGTGTGAGGTGTGAGTCAGTGCCAGTGTGTGACTGGGAGGGGGCTTCCCAGCCTCCACTCCAAGGCCAGCTGGGGAGGCTACTTTTGGAGCACAGGCATGCCTGGAGGGGCCCTGTGGTGCCCCCCCCCCCGCCACAGTCAGAATCAAATAGGTTGTTGCTAGGCAACCTACAGTCAACTGACGCCTTCTGGGGAATCCCACAGTTTGGGGGCAGTGCCGGCCCAGGCTGGGTTCCTGGAAAGTGGGCTCTCTGCTTTGGCCCTCTTACCAAGACTGTGGCAGGAGTGGAGGGACTGTCATCAATGCCTGGGCCCCCTGCTCCCTCTCTACACTGAGCTGGCCATGGGCACTTCCTCTGGTCCACCCCTTCCCCTGCTGGGGGTAGACGTAGGCCCACACCGCAACAGCTCTGATATGGGCAGTCAGTGGGTGGTACCAAGATCCCTGGCCCCCTGTGCCAGCAGACACGCCCGCCCTGCTGCCCCCAGCCCAGGCAGGCGGACCCAGGAGGGAGCCTCACCCATTAGGATGGCCACGCTGTCGAAGCAGCCGTCCAGCTTGCTGAGCAGGATGGACAGGAAGCTGTCTGCGGCCAGCACACTGGCGTCCCGGGTGCTCTGGTCATAGACCACCACGTCCTGAGGTTCAGTGGTTTCTACCTGAAGGCCAAGGGGTCCCAGATGAGAGCGCTGTCAAGTGCTCTGTGCCTAGCCATGGTCACTGGCCTGGCCCACGGGGAGAGCACACCGTGGGAGGGCAGGGGGGAGGTGCCAGCCACCCGGCTGGCTAGAAGGGAAGACCAGTGCCCTGACACATGCCTTGTGCATTCCACCTGCCCAGGTGCCTTGGTAGGCTTACCTGGACAGGTGTAAACAAAATAACCCATCCAGTCAGGCAGGGGGGGAGGGGCTGGTGTTCTAGCACTCCTGGGTGAAAGGAACAGATGAGAGCTGTGTCCATTGTGACAGTCCCATTTGTAATGAGGAGTAACCAGGACTGTGGGTGCGCACGCACCCGGGCACGCGTACATGCACAGCCTTTGTTTGGGTCTGGGCTCAGTGGAGCTGACTGCTGAGCCAGCTTGCCTCTCTTTCTTTCTCGACTCCCTCCAACCCCTGATAGAGAAACTAAGGCTGCAGGACCCCCTCCCCCGCCCCCCCCCTGCCCCTTGCCAAGTCAGGACCCAGCTAACTGGAAGCTGGGGTCCCCCTTACCCTTCTTCCTCACTGTGCCAGCCTCGGGCCAGATGTTGAGAGGTTTTTGCTCAGGCAGGCTGACGTCCCCACCCCCACCCACACTCAGCCTTTAAGCCAGCTGAGCTGCCAACCCTGGGCTGGATGATGTCACCAGCAGCCAATAGGATCACACCCTGGCCGGAGCCTCCCTGGGGGTGATTAATCACCGGATTCCCCTTCCTTGTTGGAACTGCAGGGGGGTGGCTCTGTCCTTAGAGCAGGGGATTCCTGAACAGCGACCATCCCCCCCTCCTCTCCTGTCCCAGCTTGGCTGGTGGGCCGGGCTGCACCTGAACCCCTCCCCAAACCTCCTGCTGCTGATTGGCATGCCCCCTCCCCAGAGGGGGTGAGGGGTCCTGCACAGGTAATGCCCCAGGTTCCTTGCAGGGGTAACTGGCCCCAGGCCCCCTGCACAGATAACTAGTCCTGGGTCCCTCGCAGAAGTGACACCGCAGGTCCCCTGTACAGGTAACTAGTCCTGGGTCCCTTGCCCAGGTGACACTGCAGGTCCCCTGCACAGGGAACTGGCTCTGGGTCCCTTGCACAGGTAACTGACCCTTCTGCTGACCCTGCTTGTCTCTGAACCTCCTCACCCACTCAGTATTCCTCCCTCTGGGCTTGGGCACACTTGGCCCCACTTTTCCTGACCTCAGAGACAAAGGCCAGTCTGAGCAGCACTGTGTGGAGGGTCTGGTCTCCCAGTAGCCCTCCCCGAGCTGTGATACCAAGGACCCCTGCCTCTCCCCGCCCCTCCCCCCCCCCGTAGCTCAGCTGTTGGCTCCCGAGATGATGGGGTGTGCTGGGGAGGTGGTCAGGCGCAGGGGGGGTGGCAGGCACGTGCAGTGTGGGGGGCGGGGTACCTGGCTGCGGACGGCTGGCTGGATGAGCTCGGCAATGCTCACTTTGCCCTGCTGCAGCCGCCGTTTCACCAGCTTGGAGCAGCAGATGTTGACAGAGCTCAGCACGTGCCAGCTGTTGTACTCCACAAAGGAACGGCTGTCAATGACCAGAGGGCCCCCGGGCCCACCACGCAGCAGGCTAGCCAGCTTCTTGGCATCCATCACCTTCCGTGGAAGCCGGTCCCCTGCCATGGTGGGGCAGCGGGCAGCGCGGCTCCTGGAGGACGCAGCCTGCAGTGTGTGCAGTGCCCTAGTGCATGGCCCAGACCTGAGGGAGAGGCGGATGGTCAGGCGCGGGTGGGCCCTGGGTTGCAGCTGCAGGCTCCCAGTGGCCCCTGGGAGGACCCTGACATGACCACAGGGAGGGGTCATCCGAGCAGGCACAGGTGGCTCATGCCTACAATCCTGGCTACTCAGGCAGCTGAATCTGAGGATTTCCATTTAAAGCTAGCCCAGCCAGGGAAGTCCATGAGACTTTCACCTCCAATTAACCACCAAAACCCAGAAGTGGAGTTGTGGCTCAAGGGTAGAGTGCCAACCTTGAGTGAAAAAGCTCAGGGATGAATGCTGAGGCCCTAAGTTCAAGCCTCAGAATTGGTGCATGTGTGCATGTGTGCACAGACACACACAGCAAAGACTCATCCTGTGGGACAGTGCCTGGGAGAAACCTCATCCAGCTCTCAGGTCCTTCCTCGGGACCCCTAGGTGCATCTACTCTCCTGCCTTCCAGACCCTCTGCCCTGCTGGCCCTTGCATTTCCCACCCAGCCCTGGTGAGGCAGAACTTGTCCTCAGCCAGGCCTCTTCCCAGCCAGCGGCCCTTAGACCTGCTCTCCCTGCTCTTGGACAGTGCTGTGTGGCCAGACCCCAGAACCTAATCTGCAGGGCGACTCCCTAAACCGAGAACCTGGACCCTGGCAGGGGGTGGTTGGAGCTGCCTCCACTTGCTTGTGGGCTCTAGAAGGCTAGAGGGCAGGGCACCACAGGGTTTGGGGGTGTGTGTGGGGCTCCACGTCTCAGTGCTGCCAGCCCTTCAGCTGCCCCAAGGGAAGCTGGAGGGGAAGTCCAGTTGGGAGACAACCACCCCATCAGGGAAGAGCCCGAGAGCCACGGGGAAGGACTGGGAGGGCATGCTGTGCTGAGGGGTATGAGCAGGGCATGGAGGGGTGGGCAGAAGGGCACACAGGCTTGGTACCTGGCTGCACCCTGCCCGCCAGGGAACCCTGAAGCTGTAGCCAGGCCCTATTAACCAAGGGCAGTATTGTTCTGTGCAGCCAAGGGGACTCATTAGCAAGTTAGCACCTTGTTGTTGCCATGGCAACAGCAGAGGTGCCAGGCAACGGGGCAGCTGCCCCACCGCCGCTGCACTGGCTACTGGGCAGAGCCAGCAGGCCGCCGGCAGTGCCCATCCCAGCCCACAGCCCCGGACTTCCCAGCACTGCAGTGTCCTTCTGCAGGACAAGCCCCCTGGGGCAGGATGAGGAAGGAGGCCTCTGCACTGGTCACTGGTCTCTGGGAGGACCTCAGGCGGCTCTGGTCTCGCAGAGCACCGTGGCTCACGGTGGGCTGGGGCACACAGGTGTCCCGTCAGCTTTGAACAGGTCAGTGGGGCTGCAACAGTCATATGGACTCTGAGCGAGTCCTCAGGGGGAAGTGGCTCTGCGGTGAGTGGGAGGGAGTCTGCATCGCCCCAACACCTTGCAGGCAGAGCCCTAGGCCCTCAGCAAAGCCTTCTAGCCCAGGAGATGGCAAATCTCAAGTCCAAGGCGGGAAGGAGGCTCCGCTCAGGCCAGGCCCCTTAGGGAGGCCAGGGCAGCCTCACTGCAGGGCGTCACTACCACCACACAGCTGGCCTGACAGCTGCTCTTTACCTGTCCAGGCCCACGTGGGTTTGCACACGGACAGGCACCCCTCCTTCCCAAACACCGACACTGCTGTGTGCAACTACTCACGTGCAAATGTGTGCACACATACATGCAGCGCAGGAGAGCTCAGCGGTGACACACATAAACCTTCGTGCCCACATGTCCTTACGCTCCCGAGGTCCCCACACACATACCACAGGTGCCAGTTCCACAACCTTCTCCCACACAGCACATCTGTATTCCTGGACACATATGTGGCCAGCATCAGCCTGATTCCTGGGGTAGCCTTCCCTCCAAGCTATAGCCTGTTAGTGGAGCCACTAGCTCCACACACGGGCTTCGGGGGCACCAGGTAGGGGAGGATCCAGGAATGTGCCCCCACCCCTGCTCCTACTCAGGCAGGCTCTCAGGAAAGAGCAGGCCGTGGGGGACCAAGGTGCTGAGATGCCAGCCCACTGCTACCCAGCAGCACCTCTGGGGGCCAGGAAGGGGAGGGGGCAGAGCACCTCTGGATGGCAGGCCTGAGCGCTTGCACAGGCTGTCCATTCTCATCAGACCTCCGTGCACCCTGGCCTAGGGATGGGGGGCAGAGGGCAGGCCATCACTGGCCTTAGCTGGGTCAATGGAAGGGCCAGGCAGAGCCGGCCTAGTTGGAGGAGGGCAGGACAGGTCCCCAGGGGTGGATGTGGACCAGGCCTGGGTGGCAGGCAGAGGCTGGAGGCCTCCTTCCATCCCCACCAGCATGTGGCGGTCACACTGCTCTGTGGAGCTCCTGGGGGCCTGCCCCCTGCTATGCCCTGGCCGGCCCAGGGCCTCTACAGGACACTGCCCTGTGAGGTCCAGGCAGAGGTGCTCCTGGCCAATGGAGTCCTGCAGGCTGACCTCATTCCCTGCTGTCTCTGAGGGCTGCACATTTAGGCCTTCTCCAGACCTGTGGCGGCCCCACCGACACAGCTGAAAACTTCAAGACCAGGACATCAACATCTGCCCAAGAGGAGGGATGCTGGAAAGCGTCCCGAACACGACACCTGAAGCACCTTTCTGATCTCTGCTCCCAGAGGCGGCCTCGGGGACCTGGAACCTCCCCAGTGGCTGAGGGCAGAAGAGAACCTGCCCGGCTACTCTCCAGAGTGCCCAGGCTGACAGCAGCAGGAGGTACTTCAGTCAGACTTAGAGACCGACTTACAGCTGCTGGTCACGTGACCTGCCGATCGGTGGTGGGTGCATGCGATTCTGTCCTCCAGGTTGCAAGGCCAGGACGGCGAGCTACGCCGCTCCTCCCGCCGCCCTGGGAACACGCAGGTCTCAGGCTGTCCCAGCCCGCACCGGGGCTTCACGGGGGAGCACGGACCCGGCCCGCACCGGGGAGCACTGCAGGCGCCACCCAGCCCGTCCCCCACCCCCTCCGCCGGCGCCGGGTCCCCGCCCGCTCGGCAGCACACCTCCACCGGAGCGGAAACGGTCTCCGAAGGAGTCCAGTGACCCGGCAGGGGCAAGGGCCTGGCCCTGACCCCACCCACCGCCGCGGGTTAGGTACCCAGCCGCGGGCCATTCCTCCAACCAGGTCCCGAGGCCGCCCCCGGGCGGGGACGTGCTGCGCCGGCCGGGGCGTGAATGGATGCGGGCGCCCAGGCGTGGATGGACATGGGGCCCAGGCGTGGATGGTCGTGAGGGCCCGGGTGTGGATGGACGTGGGGCCCGGGCGTGGATGGTCTCGGGGACCCAGGCGTGGACAGACGCGGGCCCGGGCGTGGATGGACGCGGGGGCCCGGGCGTGGACGGACGCGGGGGCCCGGGCGTGGACGGACGCGGGGGC